CTTCTGTATTCTTCTTCTGTAGTTCTTTCTCAGTAGAGTTCTTCTTCTGTAGTTCTTCTTCTGTAGTTCTTCTTCTGTAATTCTTCTTCTGTAGAGTTCTTCTTCTGTAGTTCTTCTTCTGTGGTTGTTTTTCTGTTGAGTTCTCCTTCTGTAGTTCTTCTTCCGTAGTTCTTATTTTGTAGTTCTTCTTCTGTAATTCTTATTCTGTAGTTCTTCTTCTGTAGTTCTTCTTCTGTAAGAGTTCTTCTGTAGTTCTTCTTCTGTAAGAGTTCTTCTGTAGTTCTTCTTCTGTAAGAGTTCTTCTGTAGTTCTTCTTCTATAGTTCTTCTTCTGTAGTTCTTCTTCTGTAGTTCTTCTTCTGTAGTTCTTCTTCTGTAAGAGTTCTTCTGTAGTTCTTCTTCTGTAAGAGTTCTTCTGTAGTTCTTCTTCTATAGTTCTTCTATTGTTCTTCTTCTGTAGTTCTTCTTCTGTAGTTCTTCTTCTGTAAGAGTTCTTCTATAGTTCTTCTTCTGTAGAGTTCTTCTTCTATAGTTCTTCTTCTGTAGTTCTTCTTCTGTAAGAGTTCTTCTGTAGTTCTTCTTCTGTAGTTCTTCTGTGTTCTTCTTCTGTAGTTCTTCTTCTGTAAGAGTTCTTCTGTAGTTCTTCTTCTGTAAGAGTTCTTCTGTGTTCTTCTTCTATAGTTCTTCTATTGTTCTTCTTCTGTAGTTCTTCTTCTGTAAGAGTTCTTCTGTAGTTCTTCTTCTATAGTTCTTCTATTGTTCTTCTTCTGTAGTTCTTCTTCTGTAAGAGTTCTTCTGTAGTTCTTCTTCTATAGTTCTTCTATTGTTCTTCTTCTGTAAGAGTTCTTCTGTGTTCCTCTTCTATAGTTCTTCTATTGTTCTTCTTCTGTAGTTCTTCTTCTGTAAGAGTTCTTCTGTAGTTCTTCTTCTATAGTTCTTCTTCTGTAAGAGTTCTTCTGTGTTCTTCTTCTGTAGAGATCTTCTTCTGTAGTTCTTCTTCTGTGATTCTTCTTCTGTATCAGGGACACTTATAGCTTCTATTTACATCATTCTGAATTACAGTGCACGGTGGAAGAATAGCTTCAAGGGAAATAACTTGTGTTTTTATGTATAGTATTTTAAAATAATTGGACTCACTCCACTAAAATATTTCATGCAAATTATTGTATATGAATGTAGTCCAGGCTATTTTGCTTGCCTATTTTTGGGTAATTTTTGGTATAGATTTGGAATTTGATGTCTGAAATTGCATTATCTTTAAGATTTGCCGAGATGATGAGAGACCTAAAGGCGGAAGGCTAATTCTAAAAATAGTCGTTTTGTGAACTGCCAAAACTCTAGCGGATGAGTATAACCGGCAGTGGTCTACTTTCAATTTGACTAGCTCAAAATTTTCATGGACATCATATATTGAATTTTTTTAGGAGACATTAAGTATTGGCTTTCATTCGACATATTGGAAAGCTTTAAATGAATTGTAGAATGTTGAATTTCGTGTTTTAACATGGGAAGAGATGGCAATGAATAAGTGGAGTGAGTCCAATTACTGATGGACAACTGAAAACACGTGAAGTTTTTCGCGGGTCGGATGCGTCCTTTAAATTAGATGGGAGAAATGATGTAGAATGTCCTGTAATATAGACGAACGTTTTTTTTCTAGCCGAAATAGCCAAAATTGATCTGAAGGCAAACGAAGCACCAAGTAGGGCCTAATTAGGAATAGGAAAAAGGTATTCATGCCGGTTAGATTGAAACTTTAGTTCAGTTTAATTCAATTGCTAATTATTCTACTAAGAAAAGAGTGGAATGTTCTTTTGTCTGAGAAACATTGTTTTTTTTTTTATTATTTCAGGAAACATTTGTTTGAAAATCAAACTTGTCAATGCCAAAGTTAAAATCTGTCAAACACAGATATTTTTGATCATCCGGGTACCGTTAAAACATCAATACAACCAGTCCAATATATTTTCAATTCGCATTAAGAGGGTTTGACTAATCACTCGAAGAAATCTCAACATTGGACAATCGGAAATTA